CTTCTCTCTAAGTTTTGTCTATTCCGTGGTCTTCTACCCTAGTTTCCTTGGAAGCAAAGGTAGAGCTTTGCGAAGAGCTTTGATTTAATCTGAGAAACTTGGGATTTGGAGCAACATGGGTCTTTGGGTCTTCACTCTCGTCTTCTCTATTCGAGGTAGGGATTCATCCCTTGTTCTTTTTCAGATATTTCGTCTATAGATATGACATGTGGTAATTTTTTATTGCATAAAATCATATACCATGTTGGATTTGTTTTGAATCATGGGAAGATAGGTTGGGTATTTGAAATTGGTTATGATCATTGAGAGTTGTTTTGGGCTATATTGAGAGTTGTAAATTAGCATGTTGTAAGTTGACAAGGAAAAAGGCCAAATCATATTTTGAAGTTGAATTTAGCAAATAAAAAATGGAGATAATGAACCTAAATTGTAACTCTCTATTGTTGATGTGAGTGGGTGAAGGTGTAATTGCCTAAGGGTTAACGTTTGGCTTTGAATGGTTTGAATGTATGTAGTGTACTATGTGAGTTAGGCTTCCTTATTGGTAGAAAGCGGTTTTTTGTAAATAAAAGGATGGGTTTGAGTTTTGTGACAACTAAAGAGACGAAGTTTTTGGTTTTTGTTAAAACAAGAGAGGGAAAAAAAAAAAGTGGAACTCACGTTTTGTGAGATGGGAAAAGTGTTTTGAAATACGTATGAAAATTGATTATTGTTTCATGAAGTGTTGAACACACACATGTGTGGAATTGTATCTTGAACTACACATGTTTAATGTTGTTTCGGCTTTGTGGCTCAATAGTAATTGGTCTTTAATAGGTGTACTAAATATTTGCATCTGAGGTTTTATCCTATGGTCCATCGTGGGGACTGACGTGGTTTGTTGAATTGCTGTTGTATGTAATACACCTGTTGATTGAAACATTATTATTTGAAATGCTGAATTACATATATGATATAAGGTTTTGGGAGAAGAGAGGGTTTTGTTTACTCCAGTGTGTGTGAGAAGTATAGGGGATGGGAATACTCCACCACTTATGAGTGCTTCAGCGCTTATAATCAAAGGTATCATAACTTCCAGCTAGCGCCTGGAGAAACTGACAGCGCTGATAATGACTACAGGTACCATACCCTTCCAGCTAGCGCCTGGTAAACTGTAGATTGTGGTGAGAACTGGTATCTTTGGCTTACTTACGCATTAGCTAGTAGTTGCATGTTGTTTTGTTATTGTTTCAGTTGTATATCTGGGAAAACATTTATAGGAGTAAGAGTAGAGAGAGAAACTCTCAATGGGCGGTTTTTAAAAGTTAAGAGAGGAAAAGTAGGTCAAAAAGTGATTCAAAAAGTGAAATCACGGACTGATGTAGTCGACTCTCCGCTCGAGCGTAGAAAACCCGCTCGAGCGTAAGACACAGACTCACGCTCGAGCGTGAAAAGAGCCGCTCGAGCGCTGATTGCACACTTCCAGAAGTTTTGCAGTCTACTCTCCGCTCGAGCGTAAAACTCCCCGCTCGAGCGTATGGACAAAAATCAAAGGATCACGCTCGAGCGTAAAAACTACCGCTCGAGCGGACTAACTGCAGAGTAAAGTACTGGGAGATGGAAAATCACGCTCGAGCGTCCAAACTGCCGCTCGAGCGGAAAGGCAGCAACAAAAGCCCGCTCGAGCGTAAAACCGCCGCTCGAGCGGAGAGACCAAAATGGCAAAATTTTCAAAGCTTTAAAATACAACCAACTAATTCCCAACTTGTCCAACACAACCCAAAACTCTAAAACAAAGAGTAAGGGATAGAAATGAGGATAAGACAACAACGAATCTACGGAACTGAGTCCAGATTATAGATATACAACAACAGGGAATACCGGGATCGCTATATTTAGTATGAAACACATGGGCTTGGCTGATGTAATCTTGGGTATTAAGATCAAACGAGAGGACAATAATTTGATTCTTACCCAATCGCACTATATTGAGAAAATTCTTAAGCAATTTAATCAAAATGATTGTACACCCATGTCTACACCTTTTGATTCAAATTTGAAATTGTATCATAATACTGAAAGAGTTGTTAATCAGCTAGAATATTCAAGAGTGATAGCCTGATGTATGCCATGACTTGCACTAGACCTGATATTGCATTTGCATTGGGAAAACTTAGTAGATACCCTAGTAATCCCAGTAATGTGCATTGGCATGATGTTAATCGAGTACTTAGGTACTTGAGGAAAATAATAGACTATGGAATAGTCTATAATGGCTATCCAGAAGTACTGGAATGATTCACGGATGCCAGTTGGATAACTGACCGTGAAGATCACTCGTCCACGAGTGGTTGGATTTTTACTATTGGAGGAGGAGCGGTCTCTTGGGGTTCTAAGAAGTAAACATGAATAATAGACTCAACCATGGTGTTTGAGTTTGTAGCATTGGCTTCTTGTAGCAAAGAGACAGAGTGGCTAAGGAATCTCTTGTTAGAGATTAAGATATGGCCAAAACCTACGCCGCCAATATCTTTGCATTGTGATAGTGAACAACTCTATCACGGGCCTATAGCCATGTCTATAATGAAAAGTCCAAGCATATAGGACTGAGACATAGCTATTCAGGCAGTTAATCACAGAAGGTGTGATTACCATTAGTTATATAAAATCAAGTGAAAACTTAGCTGACCCCTTAACAAAGGGACTTGCAAGGGATTTGGTGTGGAAAACATCAAAGGGGATGGGCCTTAAGCCCACTTAACATAATCACCCTGGTGGAAACTCGACTCAATGCTTGAAGAAACATCATGTCTTGAGTTCAATAAGCCCAAGCACACCATATGTCGTGATTGCAAGCACTTAGTTTTATTTCATTTTCATTCCAAGGTTGAAGTGCTTGGTACCTGTAATGTGGAAAGAAGAGGATGAGTTAGCAAACTCTTAATAAGCTTACAATTGGGTTGTTAGGGTACTGTAAATTACAGGGGTACTCTTAGTAAGCTTACTTATGTGAGTGCAGGAGGTGGTGCCGCTTCCTATGAGTCCAAGGGCTTGACTCTAGAGTGCTCATGAAACAAGATATAGACATAAGGCCAATCCATGTGTCGGTTTGTTTGATTACTTGAGGTAACCCGTACTTTGCGTGAGACATGTCCGGTTAGTCGTATAAGATTGCTAGTTCAAAGACAAGTCTACTATGTCATCTTGACTAACTTTGAGATGTCTTTACTAAGTGAATGATTCAAATCGTAAGATATCTTCACCTATGCATAAGGCTGCCAAGTGAACCAAGAATCATCATCTGATATTTTGAAATGGTGGGATGTTGGGGAATTTTCAAAATGGGTTTTCAAATTTATAGTTTTTTTTTTTGGGTGTTTTCAAAACCTTTCATGTTTTTCTTTGTAAAGCATGAAATAAGCTTGGAGCTTTGTCCCACATCGGAAAGAGAGGAAAACATGGAGCATTTAATAAAGTGATACATGGAATATTCCTTTGAATATGGTATTATGGAATGAATGCTAGTGTACATGCACTCACACTGCAAGGATGGTGCTTCGCATCATCCACACACGCACACGTACATGCACATGCGTGTGGCGTGGGCAGTGGGCTGTGTGGCATTTGATGGCGCACTTTGCAATTAGCATGGACGTATCGGCGCAAGGCGCCATGAGGGCACTTTTCTATTTGCATCGGACAGGTATACAGTCAGCTCCACGTGGCAGTGACGTGGCGTCCGTTGGTTGTGAGTCAACCAACCGATAGAACGGTTGTATGTTTGATCTGGAGCGATTTGATCATAGCCATTGATTGGAGATACGCGTGATAGTACGGATGAGATGGCACCCAATTGTGATCAAGTGTGATTAGTCAAGGCATCTATTCGGTGTGAGAATGATCTGCACCGTAGATCGTCGATCCAATAGTCAGATTTGATCGGATGCGATCAAGGGATATGACCATTCGATCAAGTGCATCAAGGCCTATAAATAGGCTGCGAAATCAGCCATTTGATGCCATCCGCAAAATTCAGAAACATTCTTGCAATTCTCTCTCCCTCTCTCTCTCTCCCTCCCTTTTGATTTTGAGTTTTCAATCAAGAGTTTCTTTAAGCAATTTCTATTTTTTTTTTACTAGTAATCAAGTTCTGCAGATTTGATTATCAGTGTCTGGGTTTTCTTGATTATATCAAAAGTATTCAGATCTATTGTCGTCAGTGCAGACGCTGATAGACTTGATCTTTAGATCAGGCTTCATTGTATCCTGGAGGCAAATTTGCTGTAACCCCTTGCACATCTTTTTGTGGGTGCAAATATTGTCTTTAGGAAAGCGACTAAGTAACGCGACTTGAAGCATCATATTTCTGTACTACATAGACAAGTTCATCACCGAGTTTTGAAGACCTGAAGACCACCGCTTGAAGAATTCAAGACAATTTGTTCCAATAATTAAGATGTGCGAAAAAGGAATTTGATTGTTCGTGTGAAAAAGCATTTGATCACAGAAGTGGCTTGGGGTGAAGTGATTGCTTGAGTTCTCTTGAAATATTTCTCAAAAAGAACCAGGGTTTGATGACCCTAACCGACAACCCATTAATTTTTATTTTATTTTATTTACGTTAAAATAATATAAAAAGGAGAAAAAGGAGCATTTCTGCAGTTAAAGTTACTTAAAGTTTTTGATGAGTATTTGGTTTCACTTTGTTTGTAGTTATATTGGCTAAGAATTTTTAGTAACTTGCCTTAGTTGTATTCCAGAACGATCATGATCCATCCATATTGGTTCATGATTTTTGTATGTAGTCACTTCATGTATGGGTGCGCACACATACACACTGCAGCAAACCAAAAGAAGTGTAGCCTTCTTGTTGTGGTATGCAACAATATGTAGATTTTCCAACCATTCAAGTTTATTGAAGTTGTGTTAATAAAATTAATTGTTACCCTTTCCCCTGTTTCAAACTTGCAGGTTGATGGCTTCATTCAACTTATGGAAGCAAATAAAACTAGGCCAATCAACTTTGGCAATCTAGGTAAAAACTAGACTATGATCCAACAACTCTCTACTTACCTATGTAACTATGTTCAATTTCTTGCCCTCTTAGTTATTGTAAATATGTATAGGACTGCGTTATAATATTTTTACTAATCAAACCCATAAATGTCATGGTTTGCACATAGCATTACCATAAGTTTATACCTAGCTACAACTGAGAGAAATTTGTGATGGGCTATATCCAAAATAGGGATTGTTTGAAGGTGCAAAAGCATGTAGGAGAGCAGATGGGCGCATTTGCCTCTTCTACTCGAACTAGAATGCATTCCATATGCAGGTTGGTACTGAGAGAATGTGCATACCTTCTCCCTCCATTGATCAATTCATTGATGCTATCAAACAAATTGCCATTGCTAATTGGCGTTGGGTAATCATCATTTTTCTATTCTTTACCCAAAAACACATATATACAAGTGTACCTATATGAACATGTATTGATGGTATGTGACTTTTGTTGTATTGAATTTGAGTAGATTACCCCTTCAAGAAAAAGGTCTCTTTATATTAGGCCTTTGCTCATAGGAAGTGGACCTATACTCGGTTTGGCACCTGCAGCAGAATACACATTCCTTGTATATTCTTCCTCGGTTGGAAACTATTTCAAGGTAACATTTATGTTGCTTTCTTCAACTTTTTTTTTGGTAAAAAATTGGATTATGAATTTGATTTAAAAAGGTGAAAGCTTTTATATGGTCTTGGTTTTTGTATATGCAGGAAGGTTTGTCACCCTTGAACTTTTATAGGTGTCAAATCCATAACCAATTATGTCCCGTTATATACATTATTTTTCCATTTGAATGTAAAACAGTTGATTAATTTCTTTGACATCTGAAAATATTTGATCAAAATTTTTTGAATCATAGATGGCTCTAACTTCGCTAATTCAACACCCATGTATTGTTGAATTTAAGGAAGTATGTGTAGAGAAAGTCAGATACCTCAATTCTTTCTACAATTGTCCAATACTTGATTCTTGATTTAGACCATGAGCTTGTTTGTTTGTTTGTTTTTCCTGAATTAGCAGTCATAAATCATATTGTTGGGTTTCTATGTCTGCATTGTTGAGTTTCCAGAATATCTAAATCGTGATAAAGTATTTTCCCCAATTTTTCCCCTTCTAAATTAGTCTACACAATGTGTAAAATTTCACATTGTTGATGTTGTAACCTGCGAACATGGTTGAATTGATGAAAACAAATCAAACGGGCAGTATTTTTGGGAGTGTCGTACAATCCTTCACTGTGGAAGCAATTAATTTTTGTGTATGCCTATTTTGAATGTGTATCCCAATTTTTTTTGCAAGGGTAATTCAGAAAATAATGAGAGATTATGCTCCAGCAGTTTGTGGTGTATAACATTGCCCTTGCTTAGTTATAGAGTTCAGTCACCTGTAATATAATGTGAGTTGTGAACAATTGTGGTTTTTACACTGAAATTCTTTCACGATTTTTATGTGTAAAATTTGTTTCCAATCTTCATCTAGCATTCATGTCAATTTAATGTTGTTTGATAAATGGTGTACATTGATCAAGCTTTTATTGTTGCGAAGAATTTATGTATTGTCCATAAAACACCGTGTACTTTATCAAGACCTTCCTTTTCTTTTTATTTTCTAGGGAAAAGTTATTGT